TTATTAATGTAAAGCCAAGTGGCTTCCCAGTTAATATTAGATGCAATAGTAGACCATTGTTGAAAATGATGTTGGGAGGTCCAAAGTGTTATTTATTAGAAATATGATTAAACAATAAAATGTGAAAAGTACAAGTAAAGAAGAAAACAAAAAGGATAATAAGTCAAATAATAAAAAATCAAAGATACAAAAAAATAACAATAAGCCAAATTGTATATATAAACAATATAATAATAATATTCAAATTAAGCTATATATTACAATTAACAAAAATGTCAGATAAAAGCCTAAATGAAATATATCAACTAATAATAAGCCTAGCAAAACAAAAAAACAACTTACAAAAAACAATAGAAAACTGCATAATAAAATATAAAGATCTTAGTAACTATAAAACATTACAAGAATTAACTATGAAGCAAGTGAATAGATTTTTAGTATAACTTAACAGATAAAACAGTTTTAGACAGCTGACAAAACTAAGAATAATACAAAGCTGTTAAAGAGCAAGTTTAGCAGAAGACATATAAAAGACAAAGAAGAGACCAAAACTAAAAACATGTTTAAAGAACAACTTAGCATGTCTTACATTATTCAAAGTATGAAAATTAAAGATAAATATAAGAACAAAAAATGAACTATAAACAATGTTTGGGTATGGTACTAAAATATAAAAGCTTATAAATGTATATTTGTAAAAGAAAGAAGTAGTTAAAGTAAATGAAACAGGCCTAATATATCTAAACCAGTTATTTAATACAAAAAAAGAAAAGCTGATTACATGGCAGCAACTAAAAAACTATTAAGACTAAGTAAGTAAAGAAAAAAAAAGCAGAATAGTTCAAGGTAATTGAATCAAAGATGCTCAGTAGTTCAGAAAGTAGAGAAGTATAAAAACACTTTAGAACAAGTAAACAAAATATTCAAACAATGCAAGTTAAATAGAAACAGATATCAGAAGATAGAAGAAAGAAAGAATAAATAGTATATAATACATAAAATCATAGACAGTTAGAAAAAATGATCAAAAAAAAAGAAAAAAGTATTAATTAAATACTGGCAAATGCAGAGCAAAGAGTATAAGTTAGCAACTAAGATCAATAGATGTGAAAGATGTATAAGAAAAGAAGAACTGATAGAAAATAGCTGCCAGTAATGGATAAGAGTAAGCAGAAACATTAATATAATCTCAGATGCATTTATTAAAAAAGATAACAATCAAATCAAAATAGCAATGAACTAAATAACAGACAAGACAGAAATAAACAAACTAGAAGTTAAAAAGCAAAAGCTTAAAGGCCCTATCCCTTCGTATGTTATGCAGGCAAATTTGCTTGCAAAAATAAGTTTTTGGTTCATAATAAAAATTTATATTAAATAAACTCCTGCAAAAGTTATATATATGATTTTTCTAGTTTTGTATTGCACTTAAAATAAAGTGCTAATTGTATAAATGTGTCTCTGATAATTATGCACCAATCAAAAATCACAATTGTTTGATTATAAAAAGTGAAGATCTATTGCTATCAACAATGTTAATACGTAACAAAGCTTTTTTTTTTTTTTTTTTTTGTGTCCTTATTAACCAAAGATTAAAGGAATATTTCTATATTTAAAAAAATTTTTTTAAACTTGTTTCAAATCTTTGATTACTAAGTTATAAATAATAGAAATTTTATTGTAATAGTAATAATAATTGTTCATTCTGGTTAATTTAAGTTTTTACAGGTTTATTTTTTTATTATTTACCTTATTGAATAGTTTAATTATTATCTTATTAATAATTTAATTGTTTGATTGAAAGGTCTTAAATGAATTACTAAAAAAAAAAAAAAGTCATAAGATAATTTTTTTTTAAAAAAAATTGTATTTTTACTTATTAGTTGTATTAAATGCAATCTGTAAGTTTTTTTTTTATTATTAATCAAGATTTAATTTAATACTTGTTTTAATTTTTTTTGATTTTTCAGATTTCAATACAAGAAAATACTAAGAACCTATTTGATGAATTATCTGATAAATATGTTGTTTCATTTTTATTTAGAAATCTTGCAGCTGATGAATCTTTGGAAGATTTTAATGAAGTTGAGGATTCTGTGAATATTGATGATATATATATAGAGTTAGAACAAACAGTAATTAGTGAAAGAAGCAAAAAAAAAAGTACTAGAGGAAAAGGTCAGAATAAAGAAGAAAAAAATAGTTCAAGTTCTAGGAAAAAGCTGCAATTTATATGCAATTACCTAAACCACCTAGTTTTGATGCTTTAGTTTACAATATGCCTTATCATAAAGATTATATAATGTTACCAAAAATTTATTCAGGCTGTGATATTTCTTCATATGGATTAATTTGCCTTTTTTTTTCATAAAGTATTCTTACAATTATCATATTAAATACAAATGAATATGCTCAAATAAAAAATACTAATGCAATGGGACAAGTATAAACACCACTAACATTAGATGAACTAAAGATTTGGTTAGAAATTGTTATCTATATAGGCATTATTAAATTATCAAGAGTGACTGATTATTGGGCTATTAATTCTAAGTTTTCTAAACATAACATTATACAAGAAATGTCTGTAATTCATTTTCAACAAATTAAGCGATACTTACATATTTCAAATTCTAATTCTGAAAAATCTTATTGATACAATAAAGTTGAACTGCTTGCTTTTCATATTATAGATATTAGTAAGCAACTTTATGTACCTAAGTCACAAGTATTAGTTAACAAAATAATGATATGCTTTTCAGGTCGAAGTAGTCATACTTTTCGCATAAAAAATAAACCAATTTCTAAAGGATATAAGGTCATGTCTTTATGTAAAAAAGGTTATACTTACACATTAACTTTTGAATCATGTATTGTAAATAATAGCGAAATTACAATTATTCCTAGTCTTAATAAAACAGGATTACTTATATTATATCTTGTTATTCAACTGCCAAAAAGGCGTATATATAATATATATATAGATAACTATTTTACAAACATTCCACTTTTTTATTATTTAAGAACAAAAGGTTATAAAGCTTGTAGTACAGTATGAACAAATTCTTCAATGTTTCCTAAAATATTAAAATTCGAAAAATTTATTTATCTGGATTGGAATATTTTATCTGGTATTGTTGTAAATAATATTTTAGTAATGTTATAGATAGATAATGGTCTGGTCTATATGCTTTTTACTATTCATAGTATTAAGAATGATGAATGGAAAATCTTTACAATATGTTGAAAACCATGATCAACTAGTCAAATGCAGCAAAAGCATCTTGAAAAGAAATTTTAATTTTAAAAATTATTAATAACTATAATCATTTTATGAGTAGTGTTGATACAGCAGATCAATTTAGATCATATTATAATTGTCAAATTACTTCTTTACGTAACTGGTTGCCACTTATGTTTTGGTTAATCGATATGGCAATTGTAAACTCATATATTATTTATAAACAAAAAGGTAATTTAACTTAGATACTCTATTAAATTATCTATTTAAATTAAAAATTAATTACTTTTATTAACAAACTATTAAATTTATAGATAAAATTTTAAATTACGAAAAATTTCACTTGCAAATAGCATGGGATTTTATTGATGATATATTAAGTGAAAGACAAAAACTTTAAAATAAGCAAAGCTCTAAAACTAAATTATATGAAAACTTGACTTCAATTATTAACAAAAACTTTAACTTATCACCAACTCGATTTTTTGGTATAAATCATTATCCTAAATGGCGAGAAAATTATGTTGCATATGCTTGGTGCCACTGGGAAGTTAAAATTGATAAAAATCAAATAAATAAAAAAAATCTACCACAAAGTCAAATTTGGTGTGCTTAATGTAATATTGCACTTTGTTGTAACAAATCTCGTTTTTTATGTTTTAAAGAATATCATATCTATATTGATAAAAAATAAGATATAAAAAACTAAATTTTAAATTTTTATTTTTTAAAATTTTTAAAAAATAGTATTTTTATTATATTTGATAAATTTTAAATAAAGTACAATAAAAGGGCAAATCATTAACTCTTTCTGATAATCATTTGTACCAAATTCTGCTGCAAACATTTGATTATTATTCAATATTTTATTAAGTAAACTACTTTTGAACATCTAAATAAAGTTGTTTCTAATATAATTTTACACTTAGGCAGCCTAGTTATATATCTCTGGACCTCTTATTTATTGAGATATTTTTATTAAATATAAAAACACTTCTATTCAAGTTATCTTAAAATTTTACTAATTAAACAATTCTTGTATCTTAGAACAAAAAGAAAGAGCTCATTCATAGCTTCATTTTGATATAAAATTCATCAAAAACGGCCTAAAACTGATCAACTTATTGGCAAAATACGCTTAAACTCTCTTGCAAAATTTCTTTTTATTTTTTGCAAATTTTTTTTTTATTTTTTGGGGGGCTGCCTCTGGTCTACCCCATCCAAACCTGCCCAAAACAGGATTACTAATCAATATTACACAATTTATTAATTACAAATTTGTTTTTTTACAATTTTACACAACTTTTTTGTTCAACGCCAATCTTAACTTACAAATAAATCTACAAAGTGTTATATACTTTTTTGATACCTTTCTATTTATTAATCCTGTGTTTGTTACATCCCTCTAATTGTCACATTCTTTATTTATCACACCTCTTATTTGTCACTCCCTCTTATTTGTCATATCCTATATCATTGACATCCTATCGGACTCAAGAATCCTAATATCAAATTTGTTTTCATTTTCAAAGCAATTATGCCTACATTAATTAATCAAGATCCAGATCAATATGATTTAGATTACTTTTTGGCTAAATATGGTGATTGCTTTGGTGCCATGACTAAAGAAAATAACCTACAACAAATTAAATCTATTCAATTTGCTGTGCACCCAATCGAATACAATAAAAAAAACAAGATTCATTATTTTAAAGCATCTCATTAACCTATTGTCATCTAATGCCTCTGCAAAACTTATTATACTCTGTTTACATCTTGTCATTACCAACTTTTTTTAAGATCTGAAACACCTCCTCCAACTTCTGGTTTTACTACTTCTATAGACATAATACCAAACCAATTCAAAAAAACCAAAGATACTATTCCTCAATTCCCTATAAGCAAAATTCCTCTATTTTCATTCAACTATGATAACTTATTTGTTGCTACTTCTTCAACTGTTACAGACCTTGCACCTAATACTATAGCTATTAAAGCTCATACACAACATACTCATATCTGTATTATCTGTCACAAATCAAATATTTCATATGTTTTTCTAACTAATAACAAACATTCTCTTGATCCTACTGCTAAAATCCTATGTGAATATCCTACTCATCCTAGTTGTATTTCTAATCTCAAGTTAAAACCATCAATTTAAACTAAATCTCTTACAGATATTATCTATCAACATAATCCTACTTTTGACAACTCAATTACTATATCCTTTGACATTTTACACTTAACCCTTAAAATGCTTCTTTACAAATTCACTACAACCCTTTTTACTAAACTTAACTATGCTAAAATACTTTCTTTACACAAATCAATTTCTCTCTATACTTTACAAAACTGCTTTCAAGTAGCAATTAATTTGGCAAGAATTCATCTTTATTTACAGAATAAATATCAAACAATCAACCTTACTAAATTCTCCAAAACAGTTAACATTCTACCAATATGTTTTTCACTTTACTACTTCATTAGTAAAGATGCTATTAATCAACCCTTATTTAAAATACAAAATAATGAAAAATACAATATCAATATCTTACTTAACATTCCCAAACAAGAATTTCAACAAACCTTTCATATTTTCTCTCTCAAAAAATACAGACCTAATCTTGAATTATGATTTAAATCCTTCTTTGCTAATTACAAAAAACAATTCATCAATATTAATAAAACTAAAACCTTCAATTATATTAAATATAAAATTGCTACTAAACTTGCAAAATCATGCAAAAGACTACTGTCTTCAAATTTCAAAATAACTTCAATTGATTCTCTTAGAGAATGATTATTACTTTGTACCAAAGCTGCTCTATTTTACATCCATATCTGTACATATAGCAAAGATAATCCATGCATCATTCTCCCTCTTGACACTGAACACAACTTTGAAAACTTGTCTACTAATTTCTTCAATTTATCTTTTAAAAAATTTCCTATTACTTCATCAAATAATAACCTGGTCAAATGGACTCAATCAGATCTTGATTTTTCTATTTTTGCAAAAGACCAAAAACATCATGCTACTTTTCAAAACACTACATCTTTACCTTTGCTTTACAAACTTGCTGATGAAGCAGAAACTTACTTCTCTAACAACAATAAGACTATTGAAAACCCTAAACATTATAGTTTCTATTTCTATTCCTATTTTCATGCCTTTCTCAGAGCTGCTGCTGAGAATAATGAAATCAACAATCTTAATGAACATCAGGCTATTAACAAAATTACAACAAAACCAGTTAATACACATTTCCTTGCTCAAGTGATTACTTATTTTCATATCCTCAAACAACCAATAATTTCTATACCAGAAATTCTTAAAACATACAAAACTACAATCTATCCACAAGCCCAAAAAATCCTCCAAGAAAAATTTAAAATCAAATTTCAATCCTTTAAAAAGTTTAAAGATAATCTTTTCTTTAATCCAAAATCTAGCAAAGATAATAACAAAGCTAAAGAAAAATTATCTTATGCAGAAACTCTTCAACAAGAAACTACTACTACCCATTCTTACAATTCTTTTTAATTAAATCTTCTGTAGAACACATAAATGCAATTACCACTTCTGGAATTATGATGTTCTCTATTGAACATGGGCCATTTTTAGAAGAGAATGATGTAAGTAGATGGGTGGTTAAGTTTATTTATGCAGAGAACCAAGTTAATGACAGCCAGACTCAACATATAGAGCAGGTTATGGCACTCTTCATAGCTGTGAGAGCTGAGTATATAGTGAGCGAATCTACAGAAGAATCTTCTATTTCCTTAAATTCTATTTCATCATTAAACATTAAGGAAACATCACAAGAACCAATTTATAACCCAGACTTATGCTACAATCAATGGCTAATACATGTAAATCTATCTTTACTTTCACATCTACAAACATTCAACTTTTTTTTAAAATATATTTATTAATACAACTTTACACAATACAACAATTTTAACTATGCATTCAGACTAGCAATCAAACTTAACTATAGTGAATATTATATACATCTACCAAACATGTCTCAACCCTTACCTAATTACTTCTTTTCATAACTATTAGATTATACCTACTATCCATCTATACTTATTCTTTCTAAATTCTCTCTAAAAAACAATAATACATTAAATACTAATCTAATCATAAAGGATGATGAACTATACAATACTTATTCTTAACTAGTAGGAACTATCTTGAA